AAACACCTAAGCTACCAATTATTTATCAGTTGCAAAAATAGAACAGAAAAAAAGCCACCTGTAATGGCACAAATAATTTGTGTCAAAATACTATCTCCGACTCACTTATCATAGAAGTGTGGATTCATAAACTGAGAAATGCATAATAGACAATATGGTAGTGTGACAAGAGCAACACCACCCAAAGAAAAGAGGTTACTTAAAGATCCACGCGGAGTAATATAGGTTCAATAGTTACAGAGAATACTTTATTTGATCACATAGATCATGGGGAGGTTAAGCATAATCACGGTGAACATATCAAACAAATAAAATCTGTAACTATTGAACCTATATTACTCCGCTTGGATCTTTAAGTAACCTCTTTTCTTTGGGTGGTGTTGCTCTTGTCACACTACCATATTGTCAATTATTTATCAGGTAGACCCATCATTAATGGGATACATTCCTTATTGTCCCATTTTGGGTAATATTTGGATCATTTTTTGCAACCTTTAGCACAGGATAAGGGTTAGAAAACAGGGGATAAAAAACAGGGATAAAAACAGTTAATCTAAATGTTTAATCATGTATCTACAGATAAAGATATGGTCATGGCCAGTATTGATGTTGAGTCATTGTACACTAACATCAAGCAGGAGGATGCCCTAGAGCATGAGTGTCAAACTAGCGGCCCTCCAGCTGTTGCCAAACTACAAGTCCCATGAGGCATTGCAAGATTGACAGTTACAAGCATGACTCCCAAAGGCAGAGACATGAAGGACTTGTAGTTTCGCAACAGTTGGGTTACCGCCAGTTTGACACCCCTGCTCTAGAGGCAGTAAAGTGGGCATTAAACAAACAGTGTAGAAAAGAACACCGCTTGAGGTGAGACACGGTCAGCCTTGCACAGTCTTCATATGGGTGCTCACCCCGACTCGCTGCCTTGTACACCACTGTGAAACTACGTAAACGATTTATTCCATCAAATGTCAAAACTGGACAGCATACCACGATAAAGGATACAAATTAGCTGTTGCAAGGTAAAGGATACAAAGTAGCTGTCTTGTCCTGACATTAGATGGAATGAATTGTTTAAGCAGTTTCATGGTGGTATGCAGCCATTTCTCTACCTTGCTTCAGTGGCCATTAAACAAAATTGAAAAATAGCTATGGCCTGCAATTATTTTTGGCATGGTGGAAGATGTTATTAGAAAAACGGGTGTGGCCATGGGAGCCAAATATGCTGCCAGTGTGGCAAACACCTTTATGAGCTATTAGGAACAATGAGAAATATATGAAAAACACCATGCATGTATCAGAGAAAGTACTTTCTCTGACAAACATACTCGCTTGATAAATGAGAGCAGATGCTTCAAAATGCGTAGCCATTGCACATTCCAACGTGGTTCCTGGAAGTCAGATGTTCAAGGGCCCATATTTCCTGAGCCAGCCAGCACATGAAGGGATAGGGACATCACACACAGAACAGCGGTCTTCTTTATTGATTAGCCTGTTAATTTTTAACAATGTGAGTTGTCAATTTTGTGTTTTTAATAAACAGTCCTTATGCTACATTTAGTACACAGTTCCCTCTCTCCCTTGTTTGTCTAATTACAGATACTGCTTCTGCTCTAGGTACAGCTGCCATGAGGGTTATGGACTATTGTCAGAGATTTGTATGGATTCAATTATAATCTAATATATGTTCATGGGGTCAGACAGATTGGATTGTGCACCTATTGCTTCCTTTTAACTCTGTTAATTTCTGCTTATATTTACTAATCTGCCCCAACCTGTGGTAAACCCCAAACTTTACATCTTCCTTGTGCTCCCTCTGCCTTAACCCTTCCTGTGTTTCTTGACTGTGTCTCTGCTCTCTAATTTGTTTTGAATCCTCTCTAGTTTTCCCCATTAGTGATCTATAACTACTTAAGCTCTGGAGAATTTTACCTCTTCATGACCAGGCCATTTTTTCCTATTTAGCCCTGCGCTACTTTAACTGGTAATTACGCGCCCCCTACCCAGAAATGCCAGATCACGTACCTGTACGTGATCTGGCACAAAAGAGCTGCTGACCCACAGTATATCTGCATGGGCCAGTCGGCAAATTGGTAACATACTCCAAGTATATAGCTCCCCTCCACTACAGGTGCCAGCATTCTTCAGCCTGCCATTCTTTTGGGAGGAGAGAAATGATAAGAAATAAAAAAAAAATGAGGGACAGAAAGCAAAAAATAGAGGAAAGAAAGCAAAAAAAAAAAAAGCAAAAAAAAAAAAAGAAAGGAAAAGGGCAGAAAACATTAATAACAGTAATAACGGGGTACAGTCCATTCAAACTTAGTTCATTTTAGGTAATTTAGTATTCAAAATAAAAAGCTAAAATTAAAAAATTAAAAAGGTCTTTTTACAAAATTCTTCTTATCTTTAACTAGGTCCAAACAATTTCTTAGAGCTCATTTGCCCTCTGGATTACTTTAATAGAAGCATTGGATGGGTAACAATTCCTAGCAGTAAGAAGTTTTTTTTTTCCGCTAGGATTTCTAAATGTTTACTTTTAAATATTTTCCTAATATATAAACACTTGTAGGGGCAAGTCCAAAATATCAAGCTTCAGCAAAATTGTATCTATTTTTAAAGTTATGTCACAAAAAATCTGACTGAAGTTCATCTTTCATAATGACAAGGGCGACATCAATGTACTGTATCTGTAATACATATACACAGATAACATAAAGGAATTCTTATCTTCAAAGATGTGGCACTTCATCAACCCTTATATAAGTTGGTGTATGTGAGCGCAAACTTAGCACCCATGGAACCATCAGACCTTTGGAGATAGTACTAACCATCAAAGGGAAAATAAAGAAAACAATAATTTGATCATATAAGCAATAACCAGAAAAACTGCACTAAAATGTGTGATAGTATATTTAAATGAATAAAATATAATAATCTATAGCTGCCACCTCTAAAATATTTTATATAAACAACGTATCCTCTAAGTGATTCAGTAGAGCAAAATATCATAAACAAATGTAAACGTGAAAACTCATACAAGTGAAAAAAAGTCCAAAAAAAAAAGTCCTTTTTTATCCCAAGATAATTCAGATCCTTCAAATACAATCACCATGTGAGTAAAATATATAGTGTCCCCCTCTTTGGTGTGCACTCACCACATGGATATGCCTCCCATTCTCATGGTTGGCTTAATTGCTTAAGAGTTGTTATCCACAAGACGATCAACTTATATACTGGATGACAAACACCTCCTCCAATACCACAATATCTCTTATTCCACAAGGATCAACTTATATACTGGATGACAAACACCTCCTCCAATTCACCACAATATCTCTTATTCCAGGCTATCCCAATGACATAACATAGCTATGGATAAATGGTTGGTACACAGGGGTTTTACTTTCTGCGCATACATGTCTCTAGCTGGCTAGGTTTCCGCTTCGTAGGCTGGAATTCTCATTCCGTGTCATTGGGATATCCTGGAATAAGAGATATTGTGGTGAATTGGAGGAGGTGTTTGTCATCCAGTATATAAGTTGATCGTCTTGTGGATTAAGCGATTAAGCCAACCATGGGACTGGGAGGCATATCCATGTGGTGAGTGCACACCCGAGAGGGGGTCACTATATATTTTACTCACGTGGTGATTGTATTTGAAGAATCTGAATCATCTTGGGATAAAAAAGGACTTTTCTTTGGACTTTTTTCACTTGTATGAGTTTTCACTTTGAAATGTATGTTTATGATATTCTGTGCTACTGAATCAGTTAGAGGATACGTTGTTTATAATAATTTGATCATGCCTTCTACTATTACTCTTTTAAGATCTTCTACATATTCAGTGTATTTATATAAATAATATTGCAGAACCTCTATCCCTAAATCATGTGGGATACACTACCGAACTTTACCTATGTCTAACACTTTGACATACTATCTATTCAGTAGGATCCATCCAGTAGCTTCTCCCTTTCCATAAACTTGCTTGATAACTGGTACTCTGCTTGGACCTTTATATATACTGGTTGCCACTAGAAAGGACATACCTATCACCATACTGATGGTGGCTATGAGCGCCCTTTGTCATTCAAGTTTGGAGACAGTAGAGCTTTTTGAATGCAATAGATTATACACTGGTAGGTTAGCAAGTGAATGACAGCAGCAGTGATGTAAAACATATCTACATGTAGTCAAGAATATGTGGACTGCTACACAGGCTCCGGGATTTACCTCAATCCATTACCTCTTGCCAGCATCTTAATTTTGGAAATATATGCTGACCCAGAGTAATTCCTGAATAAAATGTTACCAACCTTTCCGGAAGTTAAAAACATGAAGGCATTGTTAAGAGGAGTATTGATTTTTTGATTAAATCTTAAAGTGGTTGTAAAGGCTTGAGGATTCTTACCTTCATGCATTCTATGCATGAAGGTGAAAAAAACTTCAGCCCCCCCAGCCCCCCAATACTTACCTGAGCTCCATCTTGATCCAGCATTGTGCGCAAGGGCAGCGGCTCTCCGGGGACTCTTCCTCCTCATTGGCTGAGACAGCAGCAGGAGCCATTTGATCAGAGTGTTGGGCCGAGCCACACTAGTGTTTAAGTGGACACACAGAGCAGTGACTTGGGAGTGAGCCTGCTTGGGTACCCCCATAACAAGCTGCTTGTTATGGGTGCCCATGGCAGGAGGGAGGGGCCAGGAGCACAGGTGGGGGATTCGAGAACAGGTGGATCAGGGCTGCTCTGTGGAAAACCACTGCACAGAGCAGGTAAGTATAACATGTTACTCATAACTTGTTAATTAGAAAAAAAAGTCTGCCTTTAACCACTTCCTGAATGCCCTATAACAGAAATACTGCTACAGGGGCTGCACGGGTCCACAAAATCACGTATATATATAGTGATTTCGCATTTCCAGGTAGGGGACATGCACGATTACTTGCTGGCACCTGGTGATTACCGAGGATCTCCGACGAGGAGGGGAACTGTTTTGTTTATTAACAGTTCTCCTCCCTGTCAGCTTGGGCACACTGCTTTTGATAGCTGTGCACAGCACAGCCATCCAAAGCAGTGTGCTTACAGTGAAGCACACAGACACTGACCCATAGTAAAACACACCCAGCACACAGTTAACCCTTTGATCGCCCCCCATGTTAACCCCTTCCTGCCCAGTGCCCTTACTGAAGTGTCAGTGCTTTTTTTTAGCACTGGTCACTGTATTGGTGTCACTAGGGATGTCAGTGACACCAAGTCAGTTCCCCCCAGTGTCAGAATGTCCACCACAGCCCCACTATACAGTAAGTTGCTGATTGCCGCCATTACTAGTAAAAATTTAAAAAAATGTAAAATCCCACTATATATACCGTCATTTGTAAACGCTATAACTTTCACATGAACCAATTAATTTACACGGATTGGCATTTTTTTCTAGCTAAGACATGTAGCAGAACACATTTTGGCCTAAAATCATGACGTAATTTGATTTTTTTAATTTTTTTTTTACTGGACATGTTTAATTGCAAAAAGTCAAAAATGCTGTCAAAATTGATGGTCTTTTTTTTGTAGCACAAAAAATAAAAAAATGCACAGGCGATCAAATACCACCAAAAGACATCTCAATTCGTGGGAAAAAAAGGACGTAAATTGTCAGATAAAGTAACGCAGCTCCGTAACGCAAAAAAAGGCCTGGTCAGGAAGGGGTTAAATCCTCAGGAGGGCAAGTGGCTAATATCACTTTAAGCATTAGTCTCCATGCACACTGAACATTTTAATAGCACTGGTAATGTTAGCTGTGTAAAGTCACGTTAAAAATTTTAGTTTTTCACCGTTTTTGTATTAGTGTGTAGCGGTGTTTTTGCCGTGTTTTTTCATTTTTGCATTTTTTAGAGTGTCTCTTACATACAAAAGCCGCATTTTCAGCGTTAGAGTGTTTTTACAGCTAAAAAACTCCTCTAGAAACCCCATTAGCGCTAGGGTTTTTTTCCAGCCAAAAAACACCCCTGCCGAAAAACATTGATTACAGTCTGTGTGTGCATGGACACATAGGATAACATGCTGGGGGGTTTACTGGCTGTAGAAAAAAAAGTCAAAAGCCAAAAACAGCTGTTGTAAAAACGTCCAGTGTGCATGAGGACTCATACACACAAAATAAAGCAACATATCTGATGGTAGAGACTGTTTCTCAGAGCAGCCAGCATGTATGCAGCTATGGTTGCCAGATAGATGTTTTAAAGACAAGACAGGGCATAACATTATGTTATTATCCATTTAAAGCAGGTACATTTAGAATTCATTCCAATGTCCCAATTAAAGTGTGTCTGTTGTTTACATACTTTCAGTTACAAGGTGTTTTTCTCATTTCAGAAAGCAAGGAGGTATGTATTGTGCTGTTTCTCTTTTCAATGCGTAAAACAGCATTGCTCAACTTATTATTATTATACAGGATTTAGACAGCGCCAAGAGTTTGCTCAGCACTTTACAATATAAAGGGAGAAAATACAGCAACAATACAGTTCAATACAAGAGGGTTGGGAGGGCCCTGCTCCTTGGAGCTTACAATCTATTTTCAAGATATTTAGAATTATGCTAAATCTTGAGGCACCTCAGTCTAAAATGAAAAAAAAAAAGTTACTTCTCACTGGAAAGCCTGAGCCTGGGACAATGTATACAACCACTTTGATGAAATGAACTTCATATCAGAAACCCCCCTCCATATAAGAGTTACCCCATCAGAGGTCTGCCATCACATGAATGAATGTCCTCCCTATACATTAGAAGTCTCCCCTATAAATGAGAGTTTCTAATCACATCAGAGTCCCATCATATCAAAGCCTCCAAATCGCAGAGTTTCCCCATCACCAGAAAGTCCCCCCATAACATCAGAAGTCCTCATAATCATACAGCCCCCACAGCAACACAGTCCCACGATCACAGAACCCCCCAGTCACACAAAGCCCCCAATTACACTGTCCCTTCTTCACATCAGGGACCTACCTTTTGGCTTGGAGGGATGGAGGTCTAAAGGAGGTTGGGAGTGACCCTGCATGCCATCTTCCATGTATCATATTCATGCTTGTCATAATGCTGTGAGATGGCTGCTACCCCAAAGCAATGAATGGCCTCATGCATCATGACCCTAAAGCATCAATGGTTTATATGGTGCTGTTTGATTTGTTGGTGTCTCTGTATCATTGCAATTGATGATGCTGATCCAGGGCAAACTGGACCCACACTGGTGGCACCCGAGGTTTTCCCAGGAGGCACCCCAGGGTGCACTTGTTAAATAGAGGACTCTTTCACATACCTGAGAGTTCTAGATATCTTCTAAATGATTGTTATAGAATTCTACATATATCTCAAAATGTTGACTTTTCAGAAATGTACACAATTATTTTGCAGACATTTTTTTCAGCTGACCCTATGTCTCTTACATACAAAACAAATCTCTTTGTCTTACATTTGTATTAGACAAATATTTCATAGATCGCTTATGTCTGAATCTGGTAAAATGCTTTGAATCCAAGTACATCATGTGACAGCTTGTCTGCTTAAAGCACTGAGCTGAGCTGTTATTATACGTTGGTTTGATAAATTCATGGCATTTTATGACTGTTAAGAACTATTGCTCTGCCTAATGCAGCACTTTTTATGGGTTACCAATCAGCTAACACCGAGCACAGTTACTGATCCATAAACCACGCAGACTAAAAAAAGAAAATGTATATAATTAAGATATTAGTATTTAACAGAGGACCTTTTATGTGCAAAGTTGTTAATGATTTAACCACCTTGGTACTGGTGCTGTTTTTTAGATTCCAGTGCTGTGATACTTTGACCTACAATCACTTGTCATGCAACACTGTACCCAAATACATTTTAGGTATTTTTGCTCTAGCTAGATAGAGCAACCTTTCTCAACCAGGGTACCCAGGCACCCTGGTGTGCCTTGAGGTTTCTTCAGGGGTGCCTTAGCAAAATGCCTAAAAATTGCCCAAAACTTGTATACAATCCAACGGGTGTTACAAGCCTGCCATTTAGTTACACAAGGCTACAGGTTTTCAATGTACACTATTACGACGTTCTAGCCTGACAACCAATGACATCATCAGTTGATAAGGAGGATATCAACTGCCTGCACACCATCCTAGTTTGACCCTCTCCTGCCCCTCTCCCTCAGTGCTGGGGTCACATTAGCTCAGTGATGGAGAAAAACTGAGGGAGAAGAGAAAACACTGGAATACTAGTCAGTACCAGTGTGCAAAAGTGTATTTGCTTTGGAAGAATAAATCACCTCTAATGTTGGCTGTCCTGCTTGTGTGGATGTTCCTGCATTATATAAAACTATTAGATTACTTTTAGAATGGGGTGCCCTTTTAAAATTATGGACAGTCTAGAGTACCCGTGTCAAACTGGCAGCCCTCCATCTGTTGACAAACTACAAGTCCCATGGGGCATTGCAAGATTGACAGTTACAAGCATGACTTCCAAAGTTAGAGGCATGATGGGACTTGTAGTTTTGCAACAGCTGGAGGGCCGCCAGTTTGACACCCCTGGTCTAGAGGCACCCCATTTTAAAATGCCTCAGGCTGTCCATAATGTTAAAAGGTGCCTTGAGTGAAAAAAGGTTGAGAAACACTGAGATAGAGCATTCTTTTGGAGGTATTAATAACCACTGGGCGTTTTATTTTTTTATTTTAAAAATAAAAAAAGACAAAACAAACTAAAATAAAACTAAAACTTTCCCTTACTTTATGTTTTAAAATGTAGGCAATAAAAAAGCCACAACAATATGAAAACCTCCCACATTACCCATTTTCATAAAGTAGACACCCCAAGGTTTTTTTCCTAATTTTTGTTTTCGGAAAGAAACATGACGAGGTAAAACGGAGCTTAATAATGATGCATTAGAAACATTAAATGTACAGGTCATACACAGAGGGATCAGGAGGTGAAGGGATTACTGTACAAGTTACATGCAGTGTCGGGATGGAGGTGACAGGGCTTTTGTACAAATGTGTAGGCTAAGGGAGGTGAGGGTTAATAAACAGGTCAGATCAGAAGCAGGATTCGGCTGACATATACAGATGAGCAGTGAATGACAGTTGAGAGGTGGGTTTTTATGAGTCAAGGACGGCTTGGTTTACAAGCATTAATGGGAACACTAGCTGCCCGATGGTTATTTCTGCTGACGTTTTTAAACAGAAAATAAGAATCCACCACTTTACTGTTTACAGACGTATGGCATACCAGGCAGAAAGTACTTGGTCTGACTGTTAGGGTATATCATTTAGATAATTATGAGTGATCAATTACTTTAAAGCTGTTGTGTCAAAAGGCCTCAGAGGTTGCGAAGAGGCTCTGGTTCTGGATGAGTGTTATATTGTACCCCAGATGTGATGTTTTTGCAGATTCCAGATTCCGACGGGCATGAAGCAGCAAAATGGATTCTTAATTTGTTAGGGCTCTGGAGTCTGGCCAGGGAATTTAGCCCAACGTCCGTTTCATTTAGACATCTTAATTGATGTGTGGCCTGGTCAAAAAAGGGTGGCCTTGGATGCATACATTCTATGATTTTCCTTAAAAAATGTAACCGTATAAAAACCTAAATTGCAAAAGTTCACCAATTGTTGCAGTTTCTCTGTACCTGTAGTTTCGAGTTTTGAAGTGGAGGAACAGGTAAACTGCTGTCGGAGAAGATTTTAAGAAAGACGCTTATCTCCACTACTTGGCCAGTCATATGCAGGGCTGCTGTTAGAAACAATGGGGCCCCATACAGCCAACCTGACAGCGCCCCCTCTAAAAAAAAAAAAACTGTTTACTATGCTTCAGGTAGGAATGAATACAGTGAGTGAGCAATACCAATCATTCATTGTGTTCATTAAAGAAAAGAAGGGGCTGATAAATATGACACTGCCACATATGGCACCCTCCATCCTGAAGGATCCTATTGTGTGCTTGCAGCTGTTGGTGGGAAGGAGAGGAGGGAAGCTGGAAGCACTGCCGTGGTGGTGGGGGCACTGGCAGCTGGCTGAAATGTATGGTGCATAGGGAGGGTGATGGGTGTGGCGGGGGGGGTAATTACTTGAACTGATCCCCTGTAGGACTCTC